TTTATTTGTGTGTTTTTGAACTAATACAGGTACTACCTCGATCTAATGGGGGTCTTTTGTAACTGTATGCAAATGTTTCATTGTCTTTAGTCATGAGGGTCTTGAAACTGATACCTACCTGCACTACTCGGCCTATAGACGGCTTGGCCCAGTAGACGACCCGACCATAGTTTGGTCTTATTTCAATGAGAGCAAGTGCAGTCAGTATCATGGAAGATTGTAATTGTGCACAAAAATGAGTTTGTAACGGTACTTTTGACCCACTTAGGCATCAATGGTTCATTTTAAACTATAGGAAAAGTTAGTGGTTGAATCGATATATAGTTGTTAATATTGTGGAGGATTTGATGAAATTATTTTTCTTTTTGGTAAGAGTTTAGGATATTCATATTCATGATAGTTATAGTGCTGAGAGCAATTTGGTTTTTAATTTTGGGAACTGTTTTTCTCTTGTTTGGATTTTAAAGTCTCTTTGTACCCATTTATTGAAATATATTTCAAAAGCTGGACTTAAAATTGTACTCATAACAGGGAGTCTGGGTGACTCTCTATCGCCACTATGTCTATGACGTAAATATCAAACAGCAAAAAATGTATCTTTTTCATCTAATTTTCCACTTAAAAATAACATGATAGAAAGTTTTAGACCTCTCCCATGGTGACCTTTACTATGGAAGCCTTGGGGGGGGGGGGGGGGGAGAAAATATAATGTGTATTTATTTTGCACTTTACAAGTGACCTATGTATTTTTATCTGAGACTGCTATCCTATGTGATGGTTGGATTCCGAAGAGGTTTGACTCAGGATCTGTGGTACAGTGACCACTGCACCTGTAACTCTGGGAGTTTTTTTTTGTCAAAGAAAACCCACCTGGAAAGAGCAAATAGATGAAGAAAAATTAAGTAAATCTTACTTCAGACATGTTATAAAGTTAAACCAAAATATGACTAATTCCTGTGATATTTTAAGAAAAAAATATGGGGACTTTGGTAGAAAGAAAAAACATTGTGAAACAAATGAACAGGATTTTAAAATTGTGTTATTCAGTCACACACTGATTGTTCCCTCAGTACAATAAGGTTAATAAGCTGTTGTCATACTGTCTGTGTATTGACCATATTTTAGGTAAAATGCCCAACTGGTGTTGTAGACTAGCTGTTAGTTTGCAATCAAATATGATGGCACTGTGGAGAGCAAATTACTACAGAGAGTAGCCATATCACATTTGCACAAGCTCAAACATGCAAAGGTTATTATTATTGTAGTTTTCCCAGGTGCTTCAGAAATTGGTTTCCTAGCAACAGCTATGTAATAAGAAATATTATGGCATGTTGTGTAATAAGGAACGGCTTGTTCTAGTATATCATTTTGGATGACTTAAAGATATTGAAGGGAGAGGTTTTGCCAAGGTAATTCTTACAGATAAATGTTCGACATCGGAAATGAGTTTTATTAGAAACAAAGCAATAGGTGGCAGTAGTGCATATGTTAAAAAATGCAGGAATAATTCTTGTATGCATGTCAATCAATAAATGTTTTTACATTCATTTGCTGCTACATTAATATTTATGTTTTCTTTGAAGTAAAAGCGAATTGACGAGATGAAAAATCATTCAAGACAGAGATAGAAAATTCTAGTTTATTCTGTTCTCATTTCTTCTTTTTTAATCAGCAGTGAGATTTCACAAAGAAACTGAAGCCTACCTTTGAAGTGAACTCCTTTTATGTTAATTTTTTGGACTTTTAAGAGCCAAAAGCCATTTTCTGTAATTCAAAACCACTTGACAGTGTTGAGATTTTTCATATTTTTGAAAAGTAATTTGGTGCTATCTTTGTTTGATAAATCTCTCATGAAAATAAAGATGGGCTGAAAAAACTAAGGCCTAATTTTGAAGTGAACTCCTTTAATGTTAATTCATTGAACTTTAAAGAGTCAAAAGCCATTTTCTAAAGCCAAAACCACTTTACAGTGTTGAGGTTTTTTCAGGAATTTAGAAAAAATGATTTTGTTGCTGTCTTTGTTTGCTTACTCTGGTGTAGATAATAACGCGCCAAAAGTCAATTAAGTATACTAGTATATATATATGAGACAATAATATGAACCTTGTAGAAAACATATAGAATTATTCAATCTTGAATTTGATTGCTACAGATAAAAAAAAGGAAAAAAAATGAAAGTATACTAGTATATATATATGAGACAATAATATGAACCTTGTAGAAAACATATAGAATTATTCAATCTTGAATTTGATTGCTACAGATAAAAAAAAAGGAAAAAAAATGATGGATTTAAAACATCAAATTGGTATCATATTTTTCTTCTGTTGACTCCCATTGTTAAATAGGAGTATCATTCAAAACACTACTGAAAGATTCGGAGATTTATGAAAGGGGAGAACAGGATTTTAAAAGGCAAACAGCTGAGCCGTAGAAGAGCACTCTCGCATTACCAATCGTGCGTGTTACCCAACAAGATATTCAAGAAGGTTGAAAATTCATGACAAATAAAAAAAGAAAGAAAAGGTGAAGGTGTCAGGCTTACTATACAGGTGGAGATATCATGTTACCGCAGGTAAACTGAAATGAATGTCAAACAAGTTGAAAGCGACAAACAGCAGTTGAAGTGATGTTAAATTGTTCTTTGGGGAATTTTAACCAATTTTTTTGTTTTTTAAATTGTGGTGATTTATTTCAGTATCTGCCCCCCCCCCCCTCCATAAAAAAAGAAAAAGATGAACAAAAAGAAAAAAAAAAACTTTGTGAAAATGTCAAGAAATTAGACGTTTGAGCTGGTTTTAGTTTCTGAAATGGTAAATACTATAAATAGGCAAACAACAAGGGTTTTTCAATTAAGGAAGAGCCCTTTGGGGATCTGGTACTGAAATATATATTTTTGTTTGGGTTTTTCACTCTTCTGATTCATCTGGTGCCATACACCTTGCCATGTAGTAGTAGGGGTATAGTAAACATGGTGGTAATAACGCCTTGTAAGGAGGGCCTTGTGGTCGAGATCCTGGTAATGTGTAGGTGGGATCATGGAGATAGAAAAATTAGAAACAGACGGGCTGTTGGGGTTGGTGGTTTTCTTTCTCAAACTAAAGCCCACGCTGAGGTGCTCTTCGTAAAAACTGTTTGATCGGTGAGTCAACCGAATTTGTGGTCAGTTACACCTGGCTCTGTGAGTATATACGCTGCTGGCTCTGTGCTCGAGTTATGCCTTTGCCATTTTTGTGAGCTTTTTGTGACCCTAATAGTAAATACCTATTATCCTTCATGGTTAAGAGTTTTATTTCACCAGAGGATAAGCAGGAGGCACTACTATGGGATCTTGTGAGTTTGTGGTATTTCTCTTCTTTCTTTTTTTTTTAAGCAGCTGCTACCTTCACATAGTATTTGGGTATCATGCCGATTTTTTTCTCATTCCTTCTTTTTTTATGGCTGGGTTGAGTCTTTCTCTTTTATTTTCCTCTTTTCTTTTCTATGTCAGTCTGTCCATCTTAGTTACCATTGTATTTGCCTCATGGTTTACTATATATGGTGAATTAACCACTTTTTCTGTTGTAAACTTTTTTTTTTCATTTTATGATATCAATTTTGACTCTATTCATGGCCAAAAAATCCTGTAAATATTATGTTCCAATCAATTAAACATTGTTGAGATTTTTTATGGTGAATTTATTTTGCGTAAAATTTTTTTTATGATTGTTTGTTGGTAAACTACTTATTAAAACATTAATTCAGAATTATTTTTATTGTCAATATGATTTATTTGATGATTTCATTTCTGTGTCAGTAAAACAAAAAGCATTTGAGCTCACAATTCATCTTTTTATTAAACATAATGGTTGAATTCTATTGTTAAAATTTTTTTTTTGAAATGATCATTTATTTAACAATGGATTTTTTTTCTCTCCACTGAATTGATATTCATTGTAAGTAATAGGACAGATGGCTTTGTGGAAAATTGCTAGAAGTCGTATGAAAAAGATTGATGATGTGGTTTCAGGCTTTCTTTGACATCTACAAAGAAATCCACGAGTTCCTAACCACGAAGTGGCAGCACTGTGAAAAATACTTGACCACAGAAAGCGTGCCAGTGGGAAATTTTACACCACGACACCTCCTGCCAAATAAAAAAAGGTTTATCTAATGCCCCGCACCTGTCCTGTATTGATGTAATGTTAATTAAAAATCGAGGTTCTTGGTGAAATTCTCATTGCAGCAGAGGTGAGAGGGGAATACTTATTGAAAATGGTCAGAGGAGAACTTTGTTTGAAGCATCTTGAGGCTTTTTTCAGAGAGAATGAGATTGAGATCTCGCCACAGTGGATCAAGCCTGTATGTATTTCAAAGTTAATGGATCATGGTTATTTCTGCTTAACATAGCCAAGAAGGACAAGAGATATTTGGATGATTAGGTATGTTTAATTCCCCATCTAGGCAGTAGGTTTATTTTATCTTGGGAGGTGCCTGTAAATGAAATTTTAAATCACTTTACGTGAGAGTGTGATAAATTGTAGGATTTGATATGTTTGTAGATTTTTTTCATTGTCTAAAAGAAATGCATATCAGAAACAAAGAAGTAAGATGATGTATTTGCTTTTTTTTATTGAAGTGGTATGATTCATTTTTCTACAACGTTTTCTAAAAATTTCAAACATCTTGTAGAATATTATGCTTCTCAGATTTTATAGCAACAACTTTCAATATCGATATGTATAGAAAATTTGGTACAAATACCAAGAACCTGAAATTTCTCTCTTTTCGGAATTATTTCCTCTTACCGTTTTTGTTTCGTCTCAAAACACAGCTTGAAATGTGAATGTACTCAAACATTCTTGGAAATACATTTTAGACTTTTCTATCACAAACTCTTCACACATTTTAGGGAAATATCATTATAATTGAAACAAAAGTTTTTTTTTTTCCTATTGCAAATTTCAAAGTCTTACCGAGAAACAAACTTTTAAGTTGATTGAAGAATTTGTAGCCTGATATTTGGTAAGTGTTAGGTTTAGACAAAACTCATCCTCAGTATTGCTGTTGACTTGCAGGTACTGTGAGGTAGACCATGTTGGCACCTGTTCCTTATTAAGTGTTTCTGAAAAGTACAATTTAATATTTTAGGATGAAACAATTTCCAGGTCAGAAAGAACTATTGGGGTTATCATCTCAGTTGATTGTGGATAACGTAATACAACATGAAAATGTTGCTTTATAGCTAATACATCATCAGTAGTGAGCCCAGTGTTTTGGGAGATGTACAAAAAAAGAAATCATCTCAAATATGCGGACTGCAACTTTAGTACATAATGCTGGCAAAAGTGAAAAACATTTGTGCTGCAGGCCTTGAAATTTAGTTATGCATTTGGTTTTCAGGCCAGCCATAGCAGCTCCCACCTTAACCAATTAAGAGTTATTTGTTTTGGAGTCTGGGAACTCATTCCCAGCTCGTTAGGTGAACTAGATTGCGTGGAGCAACAGTTGTGTTATTTTGGGCAGACCTTTTTAATGAAGTTTTGCTTCCAATCAGTATGTCACATGTATAGTACTACAACTCTTAACCAGATAACTACGCTCCATATGTGTACGGTAGGCGCAGTGTAAGGCAGTTATATACTGACAAATATGCTGAAAATGGTGAACCCTCTTGCACAGCAAGCGATAGATAGATAGATAGATAGATGCAAGTTTATAGAAACATTCATTATATTTGTGTACATTTCTTTTATTCTGCCTAGACATTTCACATCTTCTTTCTATTATTTGTGAAAAAGAAAATTTGCCAATTGCTAAGTAGGTTTAAGTTTCCATTAGATAAAGATTTTAGAAAAAGTAAACAAAATGCAAGACAAATCTTGGTTTTGAAAAATGCACATAAAATTGGGAACAATATGATATATATACAAATAATACATTTTACCATATTAAGTCATCTGGAAAAAAATTATATCAACTAAAATAAAGTTTCTTACAGAAAAGTAAAAATATCAACAAAAAAATGTTTGAGATCTTCGTTAGCTATAAGTTATTTCTTTTTATGGGTTTCATTCTTAGGATGCTATTTAGATGCACAGAAATTTAGCAACAGATCTGTAACATCAATCATAATCTAAAAATTGCATTTGTCAAATAGACCCTAGATCTTTTTCAATCTGTGTTCTAGACAACCGAAAAGGGCACCTATACAAGAACCCAGGTAAATGACCTGCCTAATTTCTGGTTCACTGTCAACTAGAGCTTATGTTAGGCTTTTACTTACTGTAGGAAGAAATCGGGAAACATGACCAAACTGATTCCTTTGCACATTAGGCAAGTGACTTATTTTCAAAAAAATCATATGCACTTAAAACGAATTTGTCTCCTTGCTGACATGCATTGATTTAAAAAAAATAAAGATATTTACTTGAAAGGAGAATTAAACTTCACAAAAAAAGTTCTGCTATTTTTTATTTATATTTTGACTTAATTTAATAGAGTAAAAGCTTTCAGATAACGGTGTAATACATGCTTTGTTGGAATTTTGTCTTACAGTAAAAGAATTGCCCAGAGTTCAGTGAATAAAGCACTAATAGTCCTGCAGGTCAAGTAGAAGTGACCGTAAATCAAAATACTTGGCTGACCACAACTGACCTGTCTGGTATTCCAAAAACAGACCGTTTTCCCCCTTTTGTACGGTTTGTTTTAAAGGGCAAAGTGTTTTCTGACAGCCTACAGTTATTTACTTCACAAGATTTATACTATCAGGGGGTTTTACCCTTTCCCTTTGTAAATTGATTTGAAAAATTGCTGTAACTGTTTGACATTGTTTTGATGACTTTGAGAAGCAAAAGGAGGTGCAAAATAAATTTTCTTTGGCGTTTTATAAACTGAAATAAGAAACTCGGTATAATTTAGGAGTCTGTGGTGGTCTGACTCAAGACAGGTTGATTACGAAATGTTTCACTTGTCATGAATTAAATGATTGCAACTTAAATCACATTAGAAGTCTTCCAAATAACTAAATAATCAAAACTTTCTTTTAGTCCTGTATTTTATAGTTTATAACTCAGAAATATACCTCTTTGAATACCATAAGAAAAACAGATAATATATCTTTAACTTGCAAAATGAATAGCACACATAATAGACAGAATATATAAATAGAAGAATAAACAAACAAAAGCAAGTTTGAGCACAGGAATAATAAACAGAATAATAGACAAGCCAGAGGAATGTCAAAAGTTGAAGCTTTATCACTGCATTGGTTATTTCTCTTACCTGAGTGAAATGCTACTGTTTATAGTAGCCGACAGGCACTCATTTGGAAAAAGTGCTTAATCTTGAGATGCTATCACAGGAAAGTGATACAGTTAGTGTGGCATTTAACAGGAAGTTGGACCCTGCCGCATTTAGCGTCTATTTTTTATTCACGATGGAAGAGGTTGTTTAGGACAGGTTGTGGACCACCGCATTGCACAAGTGATATGTTGAATAGATCGGATATTTTGAAGGTTTTTTTATCCATCTGAAAAGGAAAAAAAAAAAAGAATAAAGTTTTGGTCTAAAATTTGGTATTTAGTTTTGGTTCCAGTTTGTCTGTTTGTTGATGTGGTATGGATGAAGTTACAGCCTCCAGGGCAAATGTTTAGGAGAGGTAATACACACTGGAAGAAGAATTATGTTTACAAGACAGAATAAACAAACACGACTCTGTTTGTGTCAAGATTAATAGAGCACATGGATGGAGTGAAAAAAAAACCCTTGGATGGTTTAAAGTCATATAGGTTGTGATGGTATTCAGCTAACAAAAGTCTTTGGCACTTTTTTATGATAAAAAGGAGATCTAAAAACTTAAATATCCTGAAAAAAATATGCTATTTTAGAAGTTGATTTTAGAAAATAATTCTGTTTTTTTTTTCCACAAGTCAGAATAACCTTTTGTCCAAAAACGAAATACTATATATAACATTTTCATATTTTCTGTGTATCCCTAAGTAAAAAAAAATAAGTGTTTGTACCTGTAGTTTCTGTTATCTTGTAAGGCTCCATACTGTTTTTTCACCCTCTCTCGTACCCTGATACCAAGCAGTTGAAATACTTTCTTTGATCCCAACATGAAATTGTTGGGATTTCTGGATGCCCCACTGTTATTGTGGAGTTCATCCTCGCAGACAACTTGATGTGAGGATCTGTTCTGGCTGTTGTGTCTGCATTCCTAAGATATTTACTTGTATCCAAATAGAATCAGAATCTACAAAATGAGAATAAAGAAATTTTAGTTTGTGTGTCAGTGAATGTTAATTTATAAGTATTTTGAGGCTTATTGTCAGTAGAAAGTGAAAGTTTTAAAAAAATATCTTGAATTGTTTTTAGGATTTGTACAAAATGTTGTGTTAATATTGATATTACATTGTATATATTAATAGTTGTCATCATTGTTCAGTGAAGAGTGCGCATTTTGTGACCACCCTGAAGAAATTAAGATCATCAAATTAAGAAACAAGCAGCAAACTTAAATGGAAGTTAACTTCTGCTTAGGCCATTAAAACAACCTTGTCAGTAGTTATTTTACATTTTGATGGCCACTGCTTCACTGCACTTGAGTAATTGTTACTTTTAATTTTGAATTAAAAAAAAAATTGAAAAAATAAATTCATTGAGAACGGCCATATGGTAAGGCAATTCTATGTAACCTTATCCTAATGTGTACATTAAAAGCCGCATTGTAGCAGAAATATATCATGGTTAGAAATTTGTCAGTAAATGCACGAGCGTATAATGTGCAGCCTGTGGCCTTTGTTTTTTTGTGTTATTTTATTTTAGGATTTTTTTTTCATTCCTTAAGTGATTAGTTTCACTAAAATATTCCATTGGTAGGAAGGAAGCCATCATAATGCAACCTCACCTGTCTAAAATTCTAGTCCAGAATAAATATGGAATTCTTCGCAGTTATAGGAAAGCAAAGAAAAAATGAACACAATTATCCTAAATGTCTCTTCAGTCAGTGATGTGACAGTCACTCGACAGTTGATCAACTTAAACATATATACTTCATTTCTTAATAGCCTTTGCCTTACCTATAGTGAACAGACTTTTAAGACATGTTCATGCCAGAAATGATTTAATCCAGAAATATATTCATAAGGGTGGATTGAGGCCGTCTTCTGGGTCTCCCGGAAGATGGTCAGATTTTCGAGTTTATACTGACGGGTATGTATTTTTTTCTGTCAGATGATGGTCAAAAATGGAGAAGGGATCAACAAATATAATTTGGAAGACTGTCAGAAAAAAGCTCTGGATCTGCCCCTGATCCAGAAAGATACTTATTATCGCCAGACATAATATGAAAACACTAATTTTTTTGAATATATAGCATACAGTCACTTTGGTTCCCCCCCCCCCCCCCAAATCCACACCCCCCACAATCCACCCACCAGCACCATGTGACTATAGCATCAGAACCCCCTTTTTATGAATGGACAAATGATTTTTGAGTATAAGTAGTCTCACGTCTTTTGATGATGTCATTAGGTCAATTTTCAATCTTAATATAATCCTGGTATGAACATGCCTGTAGATGTGAGTAGGAAGGTATCAGGGTGAACAGATTGTTGTTTTATAAATTGTAACTCATTTCTTGAAAGTCTATTATCTTTTCAAAAAGATCATTATTTTTTGTTTTTTATGTTGTTCAGAGTTGACAGTGGTGTTTTTTACCATGTTCAGTTGAAAGAGATTTTGTCAATGGCAAGAAAAACCTGGTTATGTTACCAGTATGCCACAGATGTGTCTCAGTCATTTCTCTGCCTGATAAAAAGAAATGTGACCCTTCCCTTCCCCCATTACATGTATAACAGATTATTTCTAAAAACTTGTGCTTTTACTAATGTGCCACAAAAAGCCTGGTTCTATTACCAATATGCCACAAAAATAAAAAAAATAAAAAAAACAATATACCACAGATATGTCTCAGTCATTTCTCTGCCTCATAAAAAGAAATGTGACCTTTTTCCTCCTCCCCTTACCTGTATAACAGATTATTTCTAACAATAGATTAAATCCGATTGGGTTTGAATTCCTCAAATGCCACAGTAAGATTTTGTTTTATCCTCATGTTAAATTTGTCCTTAAAAGACATACCCATCAAAATATATGAAAAAAATATTTTTGACAATAAGTGCATAAAGAAATGACTTGGTAAATCCAGTAAAACAAACGCAAGTCACCTCCCACAACAAAAACCTGTCTCCCATACAGCAGGCCTAATCTCATACTGATCACAAATATTTAGTTCTGAAGAAAAAACAAATGAACAATGCCCTATCAGAAACCTATCAGCATGAAACAGTAGCAGGAGCAAGTCAGGCTCCGCAGAAAAATCCACAAAATTGGTCTTCTTTCCTGCAGCTCCGTTGTCAGGCCTCAGCAAGAGGCGGCGCGTGTCAGACACGTGTTGCCAGCACACTCCAGTCGCATGTTTTTCCTATTATCTGTGACCCCTTGTACCCCCATCTTAATGCTTCAGCAAACAGCCTTTAAAAAAATGACTCAAGTTGACAGCTACTAACTCGGAGGGAGTTATTGTTGTATTGTTGTCTGGAGAACAGTGAAAAAAATTGCCCTTTGACTGCGGAGAGTCGGTCTTCAGTCCTGGGGTGTATAAGTGACACGCTATGGTGCTCCTGCGACCAATTATTGCCAGATTAATTGCCTTCAATGAGGATAAGGGTTTATAAAAAAAATACTGCTTTTTGTGCCCGTAATGGTGTTTTCTGATGGTATTGGTACTTGAGCACGATTTCTATACTTGACTGCAGTTTTATTGTGTGCCTACGCATCAGCTGCATAAAGGGAAACAGTTGCAGTTGAATTTGACTGAATACAGTGTGAGAGGGCATATTTTGTTTCATTATAGTATCTTTAATAGTCTTTTGATAGCAATTTTTTTCATGCTTTGAGTAAAATTAGAGTTTGGTTTATTTAGCTGCCATGCGAGGGCCAGATTTACGAGTTGCTTGCATTGTAAACAAATGCATTTGAATTTCCTATCCGCATAACTGGTATTTACCTATGGAATAGAGAGTGAAGAAGATAAAGATAAGAAATATGAAAATGTTTACTGGGTCTTCTTCATAGATATGTTTTGATTTATTACCTTTCTAGATAAGGTGATTCATTTCTTATCATCACCCCTGTTTGATTTTATTGATCTTTAAAATAATGAATCATCAGCTTAAGGTGTACATATTTATTTTTTCCCTTTTTTTCATTTCTGTATCTTTTTCAGATTTAGTGAGAAAAAATAACCCGTTTGAATTCACGTTGGGTAGGGATACATTGTCTGGCCATTTTTTTGTGTTGAACATCACTTGCTAATAGCATCTCAGTTTCTTATGATTTCCACTTGCAGTGGTTTTAGAAAAAATGTAGCATGAAAACAGACATGTTATGTAATGCTACCCATGCTAGGTAAGTACAAAGAGTAACAGAGATCTTCAATAAAGCGCAAAATCTTCAACAGTTGATGCACAAAAATGTAGCATGAAAACAGACATGTTATGTAATGCTACCCATGCTAGGTAAGTACAAAGAGTAACAGAGATCTTCAATAAAGCGCAAAATCTTCAACAGTTGATGCACTATATAGTTTTTTTATTCTTAATTTTTTTATCATGGTTTTTACTCCTTTTTTTATAATTGAGATCTGAGGTAGCACAGCAGGTCAGTCTCGATATAAAGCACCTCCGTTTACTGTCTGTCCCGGAGTTTCAAAGTAAAATTTCCTCAGGTAGACAGAAAAATTCACCTGCAACCTGCCAGCAGGTAGATCTATGTACCTGATAGTTGAATATTTCAAGGAAACAAAAGTAGGTTTAGTTCAGAAAACAATTCTCAGAACCCAGAGGTGAGATTTGGGATGAAGGTTACTGGCTTACCGCACTGAAAGCTGTAGACTTTGATATATATTTTTTGTAAACAACAGTTAGGTTGCTTTCACAGCAAGCAGTTCAGGGGAATAATAATAATAACAACGAAATCATATATTTTAAAACTTCTACAGGATTTATGGTAAGGCGTGAGAGTGAAAGGGTGTACTAGAGTGAAAGGTGTGGCAGGCAGGTAGGGATAATCCTTTTGTTACTGGCCGATGCTGACTCAGTATTGACATGTTCAGCCGTCTCTTCCTGATATCCCTTGTAATCTAACCAACGAGGAGTGTTAGATTCCTACTCGCTGAGAAAAGACCCGCAGATATTGGTTTTCAAGTATGGCTGATCTGGGCTGCCTTTGAGTGTGATAATGGGAAAAAGCGTTTCCTCACTAATTGTTAGCTATCATTCAAGTTATTCTGCCTGATTCAGCAAATCATTGAACAGCATTGAGCCTGCTTTCCTGTTGTCATGGCAACCACCCAGTGAGGTTATTGATTGGTTGGCTCGGTCATGCTAGTGTAAGTTTGTTACCTCGTCTTTTTTTTTCTCCCCAATCTCTGGGCACTTGTTTCACCGGCGTGCAGTGTGAATAGAAAACTTGTTGGATGCAGCTATCGTTTTATGTCTGAAATTAACGGAAATTATTGCTGTCCGTGCAGGCTCATGCATTGTTGCAGGTGTGAGTATGTCGTTTTATCTTGTAATCACAGAGTGGGGGTCTGTTCTTTAATCGTCTTTCACATTAGTAGAAATCAGTTTTCTTTTCTTTGGTTCATAGGTAATTGTTTGAGACAATGCCAACATTCTTTTGTGTTGTGAGATTTACTGTTGACTGAGATGCTAATTAATTTATGGGGCATTTTGGTTCTGGTGTGGACAGTGGCTATAGAGTGCAGGAAGAGACCATGGATTTTAAAACCAGTGTGTATATAGTAGCATTCTGCTGCAGAATAGTGAACAGAGTTGGTGAGAGGATCTTTCTTGTTTTATTCATTACCAGGTGTATTCCCTCTTTTATTTATCACCAGGTGAACATAGCAAAGATATTTATGTTAAAACCAAAGGTCATAGTCAAAAAATGAGCCGTTAATGTTTTTTTCTCTCCCTCTGAAAGAAGAAAAAAGCGTCTAGTATTTGCAATTCGTTCTGAGCATTCCTGCAAAGAAACTATTTTCTTTTTTATTTCTTCCTCATAAACATGCACAGGTGAATTATTTTGTTTTTATGATTGTTGATCTTATTTATTTTAGATTACTGATTTTATATATTCTAGGTATCAAATAAAAATGAATAAATAAATAAATAAATAAATAAATAAATAAAAAGGCAGTAAGAGTTATTTTTATTTGCAAAGAAAAACCTATAAGCTGCACGTAAAATATGTTTATTTTAAAATGAAACTAATCCTATTAGATTCCAAGGATTATGGGATCTCATTATATATAATCCCTGGTAAACAAGGACAGAGGAATCCCCTCAAGAAATATAGATATTTCACTAGTCAGGTATATGAGGACTTCACTTCACAGGTTTTACTGATGGCATGGTGGAATTGTATGAGTAAGTCCGGATTTCTTTGACAGCAAAACAGTCCAGGCAGAATTGGGTATTGAATGGTGGATATTTGTGGTCGAATAAAAAATGCAGTGAATGTGACAGGAAACAAGATGGGGAAGAAAGGAAATAGTTTTCAGAGTCATTTCTGGGTTATTTTAATATGGTGATGCCACATTTTAAGTAAATTTGGATAAATGGAATTAATTAAGGGTAAGAATAATTTTTAATTCTTACAGCTATTCAGTTATTCACTTGCACAAATTATTAGCAATAATTCTTCTATATATTTTTTTCTATAGGTCCATTTTATATAGTGATTAGTACAATTATTCCTCTCAAAATTAAAAAAAAATTCATTACAACTGTTGGTAAGTCTTTTCAGGCTCATTTTTTCTCAAGGAAAAATATTAAGCTTTTTCTATCTATAAAGTTATTGATTTCTTTATTTATTTTTGATTGATTTGTTTTTGCACAAAAATAGACTGAAGAGTTATAGTAAATAAGAGGCATGTACGAACAAGAGTGAAAGAGTAGGAGAAGGATATTGACCAGTTCATAGCAATATGGCAGTGTAATGAAGAAAAATTACACAAAGGGGAGAGCATTTCATGAAAAATACTCATTTCTGTCTCGCATCAAAATTTATTATCTCTTTATTGAATTTTTGCACTAGTGTTTTCACATGCTTTGTTTTAGCGGAATGATTTGGTATTTATTTGATTTTTATTGACGGTGGTCGTGTGTAACAATTGTGTTAAGCATTGGGCACTGCACCTCTTGGTTGTGCTTTTCGGTTCACTTCGGTAGATAAGGAAATTTGAAAGCAAAAATGAACTACATCAATTCTTTGCTATGGAAATAGATGTTTCATTAAGCGTTTGTCATTAGTCCATATTTCTGGGGAAAACAGTTGATGAATTTTTCTCTGAAGTCATTTGTAAGTTTTATTTCCAGTTGAGGCATTTAGCAAAATTGTCAAATTTTGTGAGTCAAGCAATGTATTGAAATCCAGGTATCTTTTTATTGATTTTGTGGTGGAATTTGTTCCTACATCACTTTTTTCTGACTTAGGTCTATTTACTTATTTTTTTATTTATTTATTAATGTATCTTTGTTTGACAAAGTGTGTTCAGATCTTGTTTTCTACCCAAACGTTATTTCAAAGTGAAAAGGACCAAACTGAGAAGATATATTTTAGGAGAAAAAAGTTGGTCATAGCGGTTTTTTTTTTCTTAATTGAAAAAGAATATTTCAAGTAATTTAACCTACAGAAAAATAATAATCAAAATTAACAATACAACAAAAATGCTATCAACATTACTGTTTCCATATTGAATTACTATTTTGGTCACCAATCAGTAAAAAAAAAATTTTTTTAATCATCTACCAGTACCTATTTCACCCAAAATTTACCATGTCAGCTGGTAAATAAATATCTTCCGTGCTAATGCGAACCTTCAGATGGAACAAGTTTGCGGAGTGATCCTGTCAGTAGGGACATATTTAGTAAAGGTTAACAGACTAGTAGCCAGAGAAGCTGTAGACCCAGCGTTTTTAATCTCTGTGTAGAGTATAATGGAAATACCTGCCACCAGGCACTAATTAGTCCACTTACACTTATCCTTCCTCATTACACAGTCCTACAGAAATCTATGCACACCTGTTGATAAGTCTGGTGTTTTTAACCCACAAACTTGAGGTCAATTTCCTTATGATGTAAAGAAAATAACCACATCTGAAATGTGTTTTAGTTTATACCTTAAGGTGCGAGAGATGGAGAGTTTTTTAAGTATGAAAACTGCAGAGTTAGTAAGGTAATTCTTACTCTTGTGTGGTATAATTTGTGGATAACCCTATACAAAGTAGTAAGGGGGTGGTACATGTATATAATAGAAACAAAACATTTTGGGCTCGCATTTTATGTAACTCGTCAGTAGCAGGAGGTCTCCAGAAATGTTCTCGTACGTGCAAGGTTGCTTATATTGGAGGATGTTGAAACACGAGTGCAGGGAAGAGTTTAGAAATACAAGGGCAGGAAAAACAGATTTTTGTTTACTATGTCACGCTGAGGATAGAGGGGTGGTAGAAGCACATCTGTGTGCCCTGGGTAAAAAAAGAGGTTATAAACAGCCTGGACAGAGGGATTGTGAGGTAACAGGACCCATGCCTGGGCCTTCATGTTGCTATTCACCAGTCTGTGCTAATAATTCAACAGGCCAGTGCAAACACCCCATGTATCAACGCCCATTGTACTCTCACTGCTTAATCCTCTGTACTTTTTTACCTGCCGAGGTAATGGTAGACCTTGGTTGTGGCAAGGATCAAGGTTAATACTGGATCAGGGCAGTCACTCTTTTGCCAAAAAGGAAAAAAAAGAAAGAGAAGCGTTTCCCATGAATAATTTAAGAACTTATACGTTCTGTGGACCCTTTCACCATGGCCCTGCCTTTCCCTCTCTAGGCCCCAGTGCTGGCATTATAACAAGTTGTCTGACATAGAGACGGGGTTATGCAGAAACTGTCTGCAGCCCAACCTTAAATTATAGCTTAAAGGGAGACGAGGGCCCAGTTTGGTTGGCGTGTAGCTAGTGCTAACACTGGGGTGCCCCTAGGGGTAGGCTTTCTCTCCACGACAATGAAGAAGATGGCCATTGGCTCTCCTCCAACCAAACCTGGTGCCTCTGAACCAGAAAAAAAAAATACAATTTTTTTCAACTGGTGTTTCTTCATTTCATCACGTGATGAAGCAAAAACTGTGAACTGAGCCTCTTGATGTTGTGATCCTTCTCTCTTTATACGTGTATACTGCTGCACTGCATGCTTGTTTGCTTGCTTGCATTGCTACTGCCAGTAGGGCTGAGGTAAGGAAAGCACGGAGTATGTGAAGGTGAGGTGGAGGGATCAAGCTCTTTGCATTAGAGCGGCAGTCTGAGTGAGTTCATGTTAAATGCCTTCAGTCTGTGTTTGCCATATGCGGGGAATGTGTCTGCACGCAGACGTGTGTAGACGTACGTGCAAGGTGAGGGAGCAACGTCAGGCAAGGAGGTTATTACGTATGTTTTGCCGTATGTCTGTGCATTCTGCCGAATACTGTTTGTATGTGTTTGCTGCTGTGAATTGATGGACATTATGCATGAATTCATTGAGACTGATTTATGTGGCTGTGGGAGGCTGTATAAGTATACTTCTTTTTCTTTTCTCATTGATAAGATAGCTAGTGCCGATATGCTGCCATTGATTCTGAAACTCAGTTGTGGGATGCAGTGTTCTTGTAGACCCAGATAGATGAAGCTTGTCGATATTTTTTTTTTTAAGCTAAAGAATCTGGGATTGACAGTCCATTATAATGAGGAGTGTGATGTTATGTAGTGAATGACAGGCAGTTCTTTGATATGACAGACCCATTGACTTTTAATTCATAAAGCATTTCTCATTTTGTTATAGCTGCAAGAGGTTGACTGACGTTGCATTTTCTGTCATAAATTTTTATAAGAAGAGAGTAATATTTGCTTTTAGCAACTCCATTCAAGGTGTTTTCTAATACTTATTGCAGAGGCAGATACCCAGCTTCTTGTATCCTATAATAGTATGTTATATATGTATGTATATATAGATGTGCTTATTTTTGCCTCCTTCATTCATGGCGGTCTCTGTCTTGTTCCAAGAGCAGCCTGCCATGAATATCATATATTCAGTAATATCTGATGTCCTATCCTTTCACTTCATATTAACTAAGTGAATTCTTATATATTTGCAGGGGCAGACAGCCAGACGTTACTATGCCCGGAGTCTATGCTGGCCAGCTCGCCAGGTTACCCAGAAGACCTTGTTCACCGTGCCACCAGTCAGCTACTCCAGCAGCACAACTGTGATGCCGCGTCCTCCTTACCATGGCAGAGGAGACTAGACGCACTGAATAACAATAACAACCCTGACCGGCTGAAATCAGGACCCTGGTCAGTTGTCCAGATACAGAAACCTCCCCTGCCACTGAGTGGCCGGGACCTGGTGGTGGCCAGTGCCACAGACTTACAAGTCCCCACTTTACAGAAACCCATCCCTTCACAGGGAGGGAAAGGGAACAGCGGCAGTCGCCAGCCACGCAGCAGACACGGAAGTCTCGACTTGTCAACGGAGACAAGCAGTAACAGTAACAGCACCGGAGTAAACAGCAGTAACAGCAGCCAAGTCCAACAACATATATTACAGCAGCAGCAGCAGCACAAGCAGGTGCTTGGCGCGGGAGGAAGTGGAAGCGGTAAGCAGCAAAGGCGCCAGGGTTCCACTAGCAGTGACCCCAGTAGTGGTGGTGATGTCGATGGTCAGGTCGGTCCACTATCGGTCAGTCTGGACGGGCGTATGAATACAGATGGTGTGGACAGGAATACCATGACCAGGAGTAACGTGCCCACTACCTGTACAGAGTCCCACCTGCCATGGATTAATCCGATCACCACCCAGCCTCACCGCCCTCAGCCTGGGCTGCTGCCATCAGGAGCAGGGGGTGGGGGGCTGGGAGGTCCAGGAGAAGCACCACACCCATTTCTCCCCGGGGTCCACTACCCCGGGGTTTTTAGACCTCCACTGACTCTTCCAGATCATGCGGGTAGAATCTACCAATCACAGTTCCCGATGTATTCTTCTGCAACAACGTTGCCGTCTTACCTGCCATCTGTGTACACGGGAAATTCTGCATCTCTCAGTCCGTACTCGACTATCTTTCCACATTATGGGATGTACCCTCCCAGTGCGTTGACTGTGTTTCCAACTGTAGACACTTTTGGCGGGAACAGTGCGAGTTCCGCCCTGCAGGACTTAGGTCGCGGGCAACTACCTCACCCCCAGAGATCCTCACTCTTTCCCCCCGGGCCACAGATACCTCCATATCTCCCACCGGGCACTCCCCCAGGACCAAGCATTCACCCCCAGCCCCCTACACAACCCCTCACCCCCACACACCTGCCACCAAAGGAAGCCACGTCAGGCCCGTTAATGCGACGGCCGCCCTCTCCTGGCGGACACGGTGGACACGAACGAGGGCTACCTCAACATTCACTCTCACAGAAGGCCTCGCAGTATCGCTCTGAAATGTCCAGACACACAGGGGGCGCTGGTGGGGGTGGGAAAGAGGGGCCATGGAAGGCGCATAAGGTCGAAAGGCCCCACGACACACACTATGACAGCACAGGTGGCTCAGGGAATTCTAAGGGTACTGCTCAAGTTTTCAAAGGAGACACCCCGTCTCCCAAACGACAAAGAACTCAGAAGCATCCTCCACCTTTACAGCCTGCACAAGGTGGGCCTCCGCCTCATTTAGGTGGTCCACCCCCCGGGGTATCATTCCCCACCCACCTCCCTCCTCCCCCACCCCTCCAACCCGTGTCCACGTTCCCGCAGCCCCACTTTCCGCCTCACTTTATGAAGGGCTCAATCATACAACTAGCTAATGGAGAACTTAAGAGGGTGGAGGACTTACGGACTGAAGATTTTCAGCAAAGTGCAGATATAAGTTCTGATCTCAAAATAGACTGCAGTACTCTGGTGAAGGTCCAAGAACACGCGGATTCAGGGACGGCCTTGCTCGGATTCTCTGTAGGGGAACATAAAGTACAGGTACGCTCATTGTTTGTGTATTTGTGTGTGAGTGCTGAAAGCCTGTGCTTTCAAGACGCATTTCTTCCTTTATAGACAAAGAAAAAATTATTTGCATCAGAAATGGATACAAAAATTATCCTCTTTTTCATGAGAAGATTGTATTGGTCTTTTTCCACTACCAATATTTTCTTTTTTTCTTTTCAGTGAAAATAAATCATATCCATTTGATATCTAAAAGAAATATGGCATTCATAAAAAAAATTGTCTGGGTTAGGTAGATCACACTGGTGTAAATGTCTATAATATGCTATGACTGTCTGACATGAGAGAAAAATGCAGGTTGAAGTAAGATATTTAGTATAATATGTTTCAATTAATGTGTACCTGATATTATTGCTTTCATGTGGCATTTTGTATGGGTTTTATAAATTGCCAGTAGGCTGCATGACTTAATATGCAGTTTTCCTCCTTAAAAAATCCCATCTCTCTCTCTCTCTCGGTTGTTGTTATATATTGTCTGCTCATACCATTTATGACTGTTTCTGTGCAAGTTCATTTGCTTGTCATTGCAATTACTAAAAAAAGTTTTGCTTTGAAGTTTTAGTCTCCCACAAGATTGATATATAGGTCAAATTCAAATAAGCCTGATCAGATCATTTTGCAGATCGTTTTTGGTTTTAATATATAGGAGTCACGTAACGATATTAAATGCTTTCCTTGTCAGCAAAACTTCCAATTTATTTATTTATTCATTCATTCATTTAATTAAACCAATTGTTTATTTTTTTTTTTTACTTTGAGGATTACAGGTTAATCATAATAAAACTATGAGTCTGTACCTTTGACAGTTTTTGCTTTCTTGATTGCATAAGTCTAATTTCACTTATTTAGTTGCTTTTGAAGTAGAATCAAGTGTTGCAATTGTTTAATAATTTATTTACATTTTATCCAGCATATAAATGAATAAATTATGAAGTGTAAAGAAGAAAGAGTGAAAAAATAAGGATATTTTGTTTAGTATTTTTTATTTAATTTCTTAGCATTAGTGATTATGTAGTATAATATCTAGCTTTTAATGGGAATTATTTGGCCTTTTTTTGTTCTTGTTTACTATATGGGATTTCAATCTCATATTTACATGTTCAGTGTCTTCCTTCTCATGCGGGGATGCCATGCAATATAGATTATTTAAACAAAAAGAAATGCAATTAAAAAAACTGAATGTATCAGTTCTCATCTCCAACTCTTAGTTTCCTCCATTGTGTGAAATAAACATCAAAGTCTTGATGTTAATTTTTCTTCTGATATGGAAATACCAGATGGCAGTTATGATAAAAATTATTCAAAATGCATAAATCCAAATACAAGACCTCATTTTCCCCTCTTTTCTAGCAACCCCCCCCCCCCACTCCATTGACCCTCCCAACACTTGAAACGTAAATCAAGCAGTTCAGTAAACGAGCAGGTAGAAAATGAGCGAGGAGACAAGCAACCCAGACATGGTTATTGGAGGGGCTCACCTTTGGAAATGGCTTGTTAGTCATTGACTTGACTTTTTCTCACTGCGGTGCGAGCTTCATAAAACAGGAGAAACCTTCACTTGTTGCATCCGTCTCCCTGTAAATATCAGTACCAATACATCATTAAGATCGTTAACCCAGCACGGAGTGAGAAGAAGATGAAGGGAAGCTATCACTTGTTGCATTCATTTGGGGTTTTGCTCCTCCGGAATTGTAAAATGTCTGATTGAGTTTTTTTTTTCTGTTGAAACTGTAGTGAGCTTAGCTAGGTACTTCTTAGGGGCTTCAGGTATAAGGAGAAAAACAAACCACATGGGAAATATAGTAAAAACAGACACTCTTATACAAAAGCAACATCATCAGACATGGATTGCTTCCTTGCAGCCATTGGTGGGTTATTGTCTCTCCTGTGAAATACTATCAAAAAATTATGACCAACATCAAATATCCAGTTATTAAAAGTGTTGTGTTTGAAAAAATTATGAAGAAAAGATAGATGATATAGGTGCGTATATTTGATGTGGATGAGAAAAGGAGTACGAGGACGTTTTTGACAACATCTACACATTAAATGGCCTGCTGTGCACCTAGAACGAGCTTGCCTCACCATTTCAGTCTCTTTTATGATATTTATGCGTCTGATGAAATGATTGAATGAAAATATATAGGTGCTCAAAAAAGAAAGGTTGAACTGTTAAGAATAATGTGTTCATATATTTCCTTAGCACCCTGCTGGTTGCGTTCAGCAAAATTTGGTGCACTTTTGATTGATATCTTGGACCTTTTCCTAGCAATACATCTGGTTGGGTGTGGCTTTTCCACCCTTGAATGTATGTTGTTCTTTTTTCGTCAAATTTTGAGAAAAAAAGGAGGTTGACATAATGTCAATGCCTGTTCTCCTGTAGAAACTGCTTTTTATTTTGCTTTTTCCTCAAATTAGCATTGATAAAAATTAAAGTGCTAGGAAAAATGTGTTTTTATTTATTGAAACAAAGCATGTTTATACTTCATAAAATACCGTAAAATATGGTTGCAGATGACGCATTGTGCTTTCAATCTCTGATACAAATAGTCTAACAACTGACAAGCAAAAAATTTTAAAAGTAAGATTTTATCCTTTCAGTGAAATATATTTATTTACCTTTCCTATTTGTCTACTTAGTTTTGTTTGTTTAAAAAAAAAGACTACAACACATGCTGGTTTTAAAATGGATTCAGATATCTTTGACATGCTGGTCCCTTTTTCCACAGAATGTTTAGGATATTTTTTATTTGGTCACACAAAAACAAAGTCACCAAACATGGACAATGGTAATACGTGGGATTTGAACACAGAATGTGTGATAGGGGCCTATTTATTCAGTTGGGTATTAGAGTCTGCTTTGTTTTTCATAAATGGCTAATTTTGATGTGATGTTAGACCAAAAAAAAAAAAAAAAGGAAAAGGATTATATATAGTGCTTTTTAATGTCTTAAAAGACTTGGGATCAGAAAAAAGTGAACATCATCATCAAATGAAGTGGCATAAAAAGCAAGATCAGTAAAAGAGTTTTGAATAAGGTTGTTTTTTTTTTTTTTTTTTTTTTTTTAATAGGCAATTATTCGTGAATACCTGAATATTCTTATCCAAGTGCACCTCAAGCTGATCAATCCATATTTCTTAATCTATATCAAAGCACCAGCTTGTAAACTTAAGTTTTTAGATTCCTCATGATCAGTTATGTGTTGCCTACCCAGTGATTTAAATGAAGTATAAAATATTGTTTGGCAAGTCTAATAAGAAACATGCAACTTTATTGAAATGTTCAAGTGAGAAAATCGCAATATCAACAGAAGGATGGAAAGTAAATGATACATTGTAATTGTGAAATATTAGTGTAGGATACCATACTGTGATATGGTATAGATGTTGTTGCTTGGATACATTTTTCTCCGATATCATAGTCAGTTATAAAATTAGGAGACTTAAACTCTTGACATAGATGAATGAGAGAAGTTTGATATTACTTGGGGCTGAAAATGCGCAGGATCTTCATCCATACATGAAAATGTAACATGAGGTTGTTTATTTTTTTGTTTGATACTTTGTTTGATTCTCTCTCTCTCTCTCTCTCTCACACACACACACACACACACACACACACACACACATTTGCCTCCAGAAATGTCTAAAATAATGCAGAATTCCATGAAAAAATAAGCTTGCATTGATTAATCATGGGCGTGATAATTAGATCAGTTTCACCTGTCTGCGAAGCTTTATTCCATATTGCCATAGGAAGGGAATGACTCGGTCAGTTACTTTATAGAGGATCATAGCCGGCCATCAATATCTGGGGTGAAATATTAGCAGACCATTTTCACCTTCTTCTTTTCTGGTTCTTTGGCCAGGTTAACTAGTGTCCGGTGGTCAAACAGAGGTCAGGAAGATGATTTCTTGACCAAAAGGTCAAACTGACATCATTCTTTTCTATAATGAATCACTTGTATAGCTAACTTTACAGGCTTATGCTTTAGTATGTATACATTTAATGTTTTTAAAAAAATGCAAATATTCATTGTTCTGTTTTAAGATTTGATTTTATTTTTTTGGTCAGAATGCCACTGTTTCAACTCATTTGTTAGGATTCCCCTTTTGCAAATTGTTCTCATTATGTAAGATACTGTATAGCATAATCAAGTCACCAGATTGGAGCTATCTGAAAAAGATACTCAAAAGTGTGCCTGATGATCTTAGGTGATATTTCATCCTTCATCTATTTTAAATACAATTATTATTGTGGTTTATTTCACAAGTTATAAGTAGAAATTGTATAATTATGAGAAATATTTATTTTTAAGGTCATGTACAAATATTTTTCTATCTGGACATAAACAAAATTTGAAGTTAATGAATGTATGCAACTATGTGGTACTAAAGGCGAGATCAGAAAAGGGAAATTTTTATCAGTAATTGATACTGTACAGCTAAGAAAGAGGATATTTAAAGAATGCAAAATGTATTTTAGATGGATGAGTATTGGTAGTAGTAGCAGTAGTAAGATTGGTAGTACATAGAGCAGGCACATAGCCAGCACTATTAAAGGAGGCTATCTTTCTTTTAAAAAAAGGAGGGGAATGATCTTTAAGCCCTGTAGTAGATCAAGTTTCAGAAATGGTATAGAAATTAAATCAAAATTTGATACAGAGTAGACCATTTTCTGTCCAAAAGGCAGTTTTTTCTAGCACCCCTCCCACTCCTCCCCCCCCCCCCTTTTACTGGTCTGTATAATAGTAGTAGTACAATGTAGTAGTAGTAAGAGAAGGAGTATTTTTAGTAGCAAATGTAGTAGAACATGTTGTTGTTATTGTCTTTTTGTAAATTAGCCGTTTATAGACACCGCGCACACTCTTTTATTAGTATCTCTTTTATTGGAATTTCAGTGAAAAGGTGCCCCAGTTTTACCTTGATTCTGTGACATTGATTATTCAGTTTGAGAAGATTTAGAGATACGTCGC